CGCGCACGCCCCCCTTCTAAAATTTTCAAAGTATGACATGACTAATATTAATAATGCCATACTTGGTTTTATAATTAATGGTCAATTTAAAAAATGGTAATTTTATTTAATGACCAAGTATCGGTTTTCTTAAAAATCAAGTCTGAAAACCTTGCATTCCCTAGGCTATAAATATTATCTCATAATTATTCAAACTGGAAAACGTCCCCCCCCCCAATCACAAATCCTGTATTCCCCCATGCTTATAATTATAAGATATATGAATTGTCCTAGACCTAGCTATAAGTCTGCGATTTCTTTAGCTACTTTATGACGTAACAATAAAGTAAACGTCACTTTTGATACCAAAGTTCAAGATTTGCACCCTAAATTGCGTCTCTTAACTGACAGTGAAATGAATAGGTGGATCACAGATCTTCAATTTTTTCGTTGCTTTTTTAGCACTAAAACATAATAGTATCATTTCCTCCTGTGATATGTTGCCACTATCTTTAAGGAGTATCTCTCTACACTATCAGATTTTATTCTTGCATCAAAATAAATATTCTTGAACTGACATATTTTTCATCTTTATGAAAACAACATTCACCAAGGAAAAAACAAACTCAACAATAAATACGAGTGAACAAAAGATGAAAAGTGAACGATTAGAAGAACAGAAATACCTGTAATATTAGCTGCAAAAGAAAGATAAATTTATTGTGCATTAAAACTAAATTATGCGTGATAGAGTTTCGAGAACTTTTCATTACAAGTCTCTATGTGTATGCCTTTATTAACATTGGATAAATTATTGCCTAACAGCGTCTTAAGTATGTTACGAATGAAATTGCAATTCCCTTTACGCTTGGATCCACCTACATACTCTCATTCAGTGCAGGGAGTGAATATGACGTCACAGCGGAAGTGACGCCGAGTTGTGTCTGCAGTGGCTGTGTTTAGGACGAAGGCAGCTACATTACTTCGTATTTTGCCGTATTTTCAACGCATGTAATCGTATTGTTAACATTTTTTATTTACTACAGCATTTCCTCGGCGATATTGACGCGACAGGTGGGATTTTTCGAATGTAAACTGCAAGGTTAGTGAAAAATTCGAGAACGTTGAAATGACACGCCCAGTGAAATGACTTACGATAGAAATTACGAAAATTACGCATGTTGGTGAGGATTCTTGAATATCTTGAGTGCAAAGACTGCATATTATTCAGAACACGGATGTTGAAATGATTTTGGGACGTTTTTTATTGTTGTAGTGTTGAAGGCTCGAGGGGGTTAGTCATGCCTGGCACAACTAACCCCTATGGTGCGCGTGCGCTAACTAACCCTGCTGAGACTGAACAAACACTGACTAAGCCTTGGTTTTAGGCCAAGTCCACAAAATAAAGTCCAAATAAAAAAGAACACCAGCACAAACAACATTATATAAGAAAAATAAAATTGATAAACACAAAATCATTATAAATTAAAGAGAAAGAATGAATTCAAACATATTATTAGTGGTATTACTATATAATAACCCAACATTTATTAGAATATTTCTTGTTAGTTGGCTAAGTTAGTTAAGACTAACCCAACATTTATTAGAAAAATTATTGTTAGTTAACTAAGTTAAGACTAACACAAAAAGAAATGGAAATTCTTGTTAGTCGTCTAAGTTAGTCTGACTAAGGGCTTTTTTCTTGAAAACCCCAAATTCCAATAATCAAAATAATTCCAAATTCAAATAATACACTGTTTTGACTATGTTTAACACAAGCCATCAAAGTGACAAGCTAGTGATTATTGACAATTTTTTTATCCCTTGATTCTTATCCAATTCAAGCTTCTGAATATTTTATACAAAAAAAATCCATAGCCATACCTGTCCTGCATTAATATTTAACTAAAATTTTACTGGTAGTAGTAATAGTACTTCTCATAAAAAAAAAATAAATAACCCCATCTAGATGAATAACATTTCAGTTACCTTAAGCTTTAAACCATGAACTCATAGTTCCCTCACTGTAAACTACACTACCATTTTGTCTTTTTGACTCTTAATTTACTTGAACATTAACTTACTGAAAGTTTATATAGTATTTATGATCTTGAAAGGAAAAAAAAACTATTATTGTAAAAAGAAAAAATACTAAAAAAGTAATATATTAGTATGACCTTTGCTACTTAATCACCTCTTTAATGTTAGTTGTAAAGCAACATATTTTCTGGATTTATATAAATGCTTGATTTTCCTGCTTTATTGAAACTTGAAATGTTACCTTGACATAAATGCCAGCAGAAAATACCTCATTTCTTGCAACAAAAATCAATATAAGCATTGTACATTCTCACTGTTTCAAGCCACCTTAGTAAGAACTTTATAGTCAATTTTTCATCACCTAGATATATTTTGCAACATTTACAAGTACATACATTGCATAACAAAGAGATTTGTTGTCCATCAATTGCAGTGTCTTTTAAAATCACCTTCCAAGCCTATAGGTGATTTAGCAAGGTTTATGGTACAGGAACTTAAATTTGTTTCTGAAAACTCATCTCAGCACAGGAGTTTAACACTGGCTTGGGTGTTAGTATGAAGAAATATAGCACAATGACCCATTTAAAGCTTTTTCTTTATTTATCACGAGTTTTTTCTTTACTATAAATTAAATTTATGGAACTAATGTCAATTCAAAATGAAAAAAAGTCCTCAAAAAAACCTGTTTATTTAAAAAATTTATGATGCTGTCTGTCCTCCTTGATATATTTCCTCCTGTTTTAATATTTTTTGTATTGTATGTTTGTACCCCTGACCAGTTTGTACAAAATGTATATATGTTAATGTACCCATGTACCAATATTTTGGCTTGGATGAATAAAATGAACTTGAATATTAGGACATGTATGCCCTAATATCTGCCTACACTCTCCGTCTTGAATGATGGCTATTAGAGAGAAACTTAAATTGATTTATTCTTCTTCAAACACTAATAATACCAATATAGTGTTAATTAGAAACATTTCTCGATAATTCTGATGAACCTTTTAAAAGTTGAAATTTTACATCAAGCTCTGGTGATAATTCCCGAGTTCTTATTTTCATTTTTATGTCTGTCTAGTGATAGCCAACCTAATTTTTTTCTTACAAGAACCATCAATTCTGTTTTCATATTGGACACTATATTAGGAAAAACTGATGACCTGATCATTTTCAATTTTCATTACTAAGTAATGCAAATCAAGATTTTTATTCTCAATCAGTATTAAAGTACATTTCTAGATTGCCTAATTTTTAGTGACATAATTTAGAATTATATACCAAATTAACCATGTGCTAATTTCTCATGTCATGTACAAACATATGCTTCAGTATAAATTTGTTACACAACCAGAAGACTATTCAGAATACAGCATGTCTAGATTGAATTTTTAATTATCTAAGAGAAAGGTTATATTTGGAATTGAAATATTTCTTTTTTGAATTTTATATGTTCCTCTAAAAAAGACATTTTCTGCTTTTAAATTATATAAAATCAAATAGAAAGGAGCAACATGTTAAAATTCTATTTTTAAGTAATTCAAATTGCGGAGTTTTTTTATGCTTACTGACTGTTAAAGAAGTTAATTGCAATAAATATAATTTATGATGAAATCAAGACTAAGTACCATATTTAACTCTAGCATTTCCATTGATAGTACAGTATATTTTCTTAATGTAAATATGACAGTTCTTCAACAGACCAACAAAAATGTGCGACTTCGGCATTCCTATGTCAGGCAGGGCCAATATGGAAAAAAAAAATCGCAGTTATTGTACGGTTGACCTCAGAGGAAAACATGCTAAGTCATGTCACAATAGTATTTAAAGTTTTGTTTGTGGTAACTGTATTTCATACATTTATATTTGCATACTCTCTGTTTACTCCCACTATGAACCTGCACTCACCAGTTGCGGTCATAGCACCATGAATGCAACTTCTTCTGCTATAAATGCAGTTTGTTTCTTACACTGGCACAGTACAAGCTTATGCACGCTAGGCTTTCTTTTAATATTCCCATCACAAAATGCAAAAATAAGTAATAAACAATGATTATTCAGTGAACATGGCGTTATGAATAGCAATAGCTCTGCTGGCATATTCCATGATGCATGCTAGCATGCATCATGGACAATATGCCAGCAGAGCTATTGCTATTCATAACACCATGTTCACTGAATAATGTTGTTTATTTCTGAATTAAAAGTACAGTGTCACTACTCATAAGCTCATAATGTCTTAAGACAAACAGTGCACATGCTAAAAAACACAAACTTACCTCTCAAATAACCAAAATATGCTGAATATTGGAATTATAAACATTTTGAAAAGTAGGTCAAAGGTCAAGATGAAAGGTCATAAGGTTGGTAACCATGGTATTTTACAAAAACCATAATACCAAGCAATACATGACCAAAATATCAAATCCAAGCCTCTTACGGTTCTCAAGATATAAGGTGTGACAAACAGACAGACAGACAGTGGGTAAAGTGATCCCTAAGTGTCACTCAGCTCTGCAGATGATTGACAACAAAATTAGGACAAAAGCACAGCATTTTAAAAGAATTTATCAGATACTATCCATGGCAAAATAAAAAACCAACATTAATAATTATGTACAGTCAAACCTCTTTATCTCGAACTCAATGGGGTCGAGAAAAACCTTTTAGATATCCGAGGATTCAAGATATCGAGGGTAAAATACTTAAAGAATAAGTAGTTGGGACTTTCAAATCACTTCTACATATCCATGGTATTCAAGATATCAGTGTTCGAGATTCCGAAGTTCAACTGTATCTTCTTGTTTATACTCGAGCCAAGTTTTATTGAAATCAGAACAAAACTGTAGGAGGAGGAGAATTTTTAAAGAGTTTAACAGATAGGAACTTTAACTTTATTTCCCACTGCTGTGTTTGTTTACTCAGCTTATTTCCAATAGATGTAGTTGTGATAAAGATTTCTTTAAAAATTTCATACATACCTGGTGCAGAGGTGACTGCTGTAGGTTGTTCATTCTTTCCTCCATTGGCTACAGGCATTATGGGTAATAAAGACTGAGCGGAAATTTGGTGTTGCAGCTGCTGTTGAATGACTGATGGTAAATGATCTGGACTGGACACTGGTGCCACCACTGCTGTCTGGGGTTTCATTGGTGCAGGGGCAGAATTTATAAGACTTTTCAAAGTGGACATTGATGTTTTTGAAATCCTTGAGGATGGTGTTGTGTTGCGATTATTGAGCTCCTTATGACGATCAGGATTCGGAGAGGGTAGAGCACTCATGGACAAACTGTGTGTCATTTTTCTAGCCTGCAAATCTGGGTTTAAAGGTAACACAGACACACTTCCTGTTGGAATCCTCTGCTGTGCATGCAAAATAGCAGAGTCATAAGTCACTTGGGCTTTGCCTGCTTCTTGGCCTGCTTTCACTGGATCTAGTTTAAAATTGCTCGCACTTGCAATTTTCTGATACAATTGTTCCATTTCAGGGGTATTGTACATATGTGCATGTGATGTTGGAGGGAATCTGGGTGTGATTGGGGACACATGTTCTGATGAGGAGCTCCCCGACTTTGATGTACCTGAACTCCAGCTACGAGTTGGTGAGGTCATGAAACCCTGTGTCTGGGGATGAGGAGAAATAGGTGCAAAGGATAGGGGATTACCCCTTGGCCCCATGGTACTTGGTGACTGGACAGGGTGTGGAGAAATAGGATGATTACTGGGAGTTGGTGAGAATGCTGGAGTTGTGGATCTTGAATTTCCTAAAGACACCAACATATTAGCTGCTTCTGTTTCATCAAATCTCTGAGGATGTTCTGGATCAAAGTCAGTCACACTACTCTCTCTGGTTGAACTTTCAGACCACTCCATATGACCATCTTTAAACTCGCCCTTCCTAAATTGCTGCATGTTTCCTCTCATGCTCTTTTGTCCCTTCATAGACAAATGTCTAGAACAATAACCACGTCGCTGAGATTCTTTCGTACAACCCTCTTTGGAACACAGTCTTCTCCATTGCTTCCCATTGAATTTTTTTCTAATCCCATTAGGAGTTGATACTACATCTCCCTTTTTGTATCTCTGCGTAGAACTTGGAGATCTAGGTGTACTGGATCTGCTGCTTTCACAAGACTGCACACTCCTACTTCTTGAAAATTCCCGCTTTTTTGGAGGAGGACGGTTTCCCCCACTTCCTCCTTGGGATCGACACCCAGACCCAGGAGTAGCACTGCCAGATCTAGGAGTGCTTAGCCCCGAGTCAAAATCAAATTCCTCACTCTTCATTTCATCTTCAGAGGAATCCCCTCTTTCTATACTGGTGCTTTGTGGCAATGATGGAGACCTTTCCAACCTGCCTTGCAATGGGGGACTTATCTCCATCTGTGGAGTATAATGATGATGAGCTATAGGATGATGTGGCATCTGTAATTGAAGGGGATATCCCATGGTTGGAACAGGAGCAACTGGTTCTTGCTGTTCTGGTAGATTCTCAAGGTCTTCATACCATGGAGGCTGAATTAGTCGAAGCACTGCACGAGACACCCACTGAGGTTCCCTAAATTTATCCTCATGATGACCTTGTATCTTGACATAGTATGAAACAGGTTGTGACTTTTTGTCTATTATCACCCCTTCATAGTAGAAATTTTCTTCAGGAATGATCCTCACACACACTCTGCTACCAACATTTGTCATCATAGCCATGGGACTATGGTCACTGATAATGTCAAACTGGGTGCGCTGATCAAGAACATCATTAAAATAAACAGTATTTTTGTCACTATCAAAGAGTACTCCTATGTGTCTGTTTTGTTTGATGTCACTGATCTGTCCAGGCTGGTAGAGCCCATCACGTTTGGCTAGAACTCTCTGGTTTATCCATTCACTCAAATCAATGGAATGTCTCTTGGATGGGGGTGAAGGCTCTCTCTCTATTTCATTCCCTTTTCGTTTCTTTGGAGGAATAGCAATCAACTTTTCATGAGTCTCCATCTCCTGTAAATCTGTTGATTTCTTCGAAGAGGAGCGGGACTCTGGTCTGGATCCACCACCTGATTGAGCGTCACAGCTTTGAAGGGTAGTTGGTGGTGGAGGAGGCAGGCCTTGAGTTTCTACTTTGTGTACCTCACTGGAGGAAGAGTTTACCTCTGGATTGCTGGGTTCTTCTTTAGAAGGCTGTTCTTCTTCTGGTTTGGAGGACTCTGGTGGAAATTTCTTCCCTCTACCTGTTCGCCCTGTATAATAATTGTATAAAAAAATTAACACACAAGTTATTAGTCCTTCCACAGTTATGCCAGACAGATTCTTGAAAATAAAACTTGCTTCAGATCTACATAAATCTACTTTTAAATACCTATGTCAGTAACAATTATTAATATGTAGTATCTACAAAACTTGGGCTTAACCTTTAGCATCTATTACAATGTCACTGACTGTTGAAAAATTTCTTATCTTCTTTTTTTGGGGTAAGTAAACTTAAAAAATGTACAATGTAGTTCTAATTACCCCCCTCTCCAAAGTTTTTAAATATACTGGTATATAGAACATGAAGTCATGAACTGAAGTATATAAATTAATAAGACTTCCCAAGATGCTTAGAAAAATAAAATTACCTTTGAAGATTTGTTTTTTTTTGTCTTATATTCTTTGCTGGATTTCATCATTTATACAAGCCTAACATTTTTTAAATGCCAAATGCCAGAAATAGCTTTTGTCCCCTCAGAGTCTCGTGAGCATACCTCTGCCTGCTTTCTGTTTCTTTAAAGTCTCCGATGGCTGTTTGCCCTCACTGTCTTCTTGTGTGTCTGTCTGTGGATTCGGAATATTTTCACTTGTATCAGATTTGGGGGAGGCATTTGACTCTATTAGGCCTCCCTTTCTTTTTGTCTGCCTGGTACCTATATGTACACAATGATTTTTTTTAAATAGAAATTTGGAAATACAATAAACCAACAGCAAATTTACACATCATTTCTTATCATATTCTTCATTTCAAATTGCAAGAGTTACAAGAAGTAAATCCCTTCTCCAAAGACACATTATGTCATAGAAACTTGAAATCATTCCAATCTAAGTCATAAAAACTTGAAATATTCCCACATATTTTATAAATCTACAAGAACATATTCATAATAAAATACATATATAAAATACAGTCTACTAGTTCTCCATATTTCCCTGAGTTAAAACATACCAATTCTAAACTCCAGTTTCCTGAGTTTGGTACACTTTTCAGGAGTTCTATTAGAGGTATAGTTCTATTTTAGAAATATATAGAGGATATTCAATGTTTTGTAGATGAATATGGAATTTATTTCATGAGTGGGACAGGATTTTTTGATATTTTCACGAGTGCGAAGCACGAGTGAAAATATCAAAAAATCCTGTCCCACTCATGAAATAAATTCCATATTCATCTACAAAACATTGAATTTTCTGTTTATTACATTTTCTTTGATTTTCCCTTTGCCTCTGTTATTTCTTAACACAATGTCTTAGGCCTGACGTCATAGTTGAGCGGTTGAGACGTCATAGCTTAGAAGTTGTGTGTCAGATTGAAAACATTACATAGCATGGATTTTAGCAACATATTTAGGAAGAAATTTGCAGTTTTAGCTCTATCAAGATGCTTAGTTACTATCTCTATCTTATGACAGGCCAGAAATTATTTTTTTTACTTACTTTGATATCCTTTCACACTGTGAGAGAATAGCATTTTTGGTATCCTTTCACACTGTGAGAGAATATAACTTTTATTCAATGAATAAATCACAGTATTTCACTGTTGAAAATGTAATAAATTTCATGATTAAATCATTATCATTTATAACTGTTCCTGCCACAAGACTTGTCTCAAAATACTTCCTCTTTTGGCACACAGTATTGATATCAGTCCCAAGTGGTAAAAAGTCTGTGGCTGTATATACAACTCCCATTTTTTTATCCCCTTGCAACAGAGTTGGAGGGGATATATAGTAACATGCTTGTGTGTGTGTGTGTTTGTGTGTGGGTGTGTTAGTATGTCTTTGTGTGAAATGGAAGTGATGTAATTTGCATCGGGATCGATGTTGAATACTGCCTTGATTTATAGATATGCTCTTTGTGATGGGATGCTCTGCTTTGCGGTGCCCTTCTCTCTTTATGTGATGCTCTCTGTTCTTTCTTTATAAGGCCATAATTGAACATCCCCTCCCCTTCTACTTGGAGATAGGTATTTTTTGTGAGACACTTTGCCTACTTGCTTTAGGCTTATTCATCTTCCTACACATGGGTACTGACTGCCCCTTCTCCAGAGTTCTGTAGCCACCTGTGGAACCTGGATCTCTCTCACTACTTTGACAAATATCTCCTCCTCCTCTCCCTTTAGACTGCTATAAGATTTTACCTGGAGCTTTCTGTTCTTTCTGTGACACCGGGCTGTTTGATTGTCCTCTTTTCTGTCTTGTATCCCCACGCCTACTCATGTTTTCTCACATCAATCTGACAACATTTAAAGAAATATGCTTATGAAATAAGAAATAGCTTTGGGCTGATTTGTGGTGATGACAGTTTCACCTGGAAAGCAAACTTAGAAAATGTTCATTTGCAACCACCATTCTTACTACAACTCTGATCTTGATGTACATGTATGAAATTTCAGATCTGATGGAACACTTTTTATTGGAGCATACATACCAGCATTTTAATTTATAGTCTTTTACTTTGAAGTTGTATTATTTATCACCCACTGCAACTTACTTAAAGTGTGTTCAATGAAAACCTAGCCATATAAAAAAAAAAAAAAAAATGTTTAATCCAAATTTATTCCTACGTTAGATATTTCATTGCAGTTCAACTGAAACCAATTTGTGTAAATTATATAAATTATTGTCCTATCCTTTGTTTTAACCCTTGATAACGACTGATTAGAGATACGATTTAGGATCAGAATACACATGTACTGTAAACTAGTGTTGCAAAATCGGACCAAATTTACTATCGATTATCAAATTGATCAGTAGCATACAATCAATTATATGATCGATAATCTGAACTTTAATTTAAAGGCAAAAACAAAGAAAGTTTACGATAAAACATTCAGATATCCTCGGAAATGAAAACAATATTTTAATACAAATCTGTGAGACCAACTTTAATTAATGCTTAGTGGGAATATTTGTCCGCCAATTGCAAGAAAAATGGAGGAACATGCTTTGATAATGATCAAAGATAAAACATTTTGTTTTAAAGAATATATTTTGAAAAAAAATTAGCAACAATCGATTTTAAAATTTTCTACTGATTGTCACTTTCAGCGACGATTTTTTGATAGTCAGTGACTATTGTAACAACACTACTGTAAACATACCTTTTTCTGTGTGGGATTAATTCATGCTATGTACACGGTCACAAATTTTCTGCAGAAATTTGTCACAGTATACTTGAAGTGCATTTAGAACGTACACTGGAGATACTACTAAGAAATTCAAGTAATTTTCTACCTGTGGAATGAACAGAAATTGTGATTCTGCAGAACATGACCCTGTAGAAAAAAGTATGTTTACAGTATGCCTCCAGATTCTCTTTAAGTTGTGAAATTGTAACCACTGAAAGGTTGGCAGAAACATAAAATTAGATATCATCGAGATGATGACTACAGTCAAACCTCGTTATCTCGAACTCGATGGGACCAAGAAAGAACTTCGAGATATCAGAGGGTTCAAGATTGAGGGTAAAATACTTAAGAAATATTTAGTCAGGACTTCCCAATCACTTTGACATATCTTTGGTATTCGAGATATCCATGTTCAAGATACCAAAGTTCAACTGTATCTCAAATGGCCCCCTTTTATTAAGGGTTCTTGGGATGAAATGGACTAGTCTTGTTAAAGAATATATCTGGAGCTTGACCTTGACTTTTGATATACATCTTTACCCTTGAGCATTCTAGGGTGAGGTATGAGCCAGATGGGGGCACAGAGAGAAAAATATATACTTATGGCAAAGATTTTAAACAGAGATCTGTTATAACCTTGACCTTGATTCTATAAAATTTGTTCAAGGTCACTGCATACCCATAAACAATAAGCACTCTATGGCTAAAATACAAGTCAGACTGGGTCAAGGGGAGAGAAAAATAACCTCAGAATTGGTTAAAGGTCACTACACATCCTCTTTCCGATGCACTCCATGTATCAAGGATAAACAAGATTAGACCAAGGGAAGAAAAATATACTCTCGACAAGAATTTCAAAAAAAAAAGATGGGTTTTTTTAATATTGACCTACAATACAGAAAATTGGGTCATGACTACCCACAGTCAGGGTGTTGGGGTAAAAATGTAAATATGACTTCAGACATTTTTAGTGAGACATCTGCAAAAAGGTGTTTGAAGAGTTGAGAAGCATGATGAATTAATGCACTATTTCATTATGAGACACCTGCTCTGGCTGCTACAGTAATAGTTTCAACCTTTCATTGAGAAGTTTTATGAACTTATTATTAGTTCCTGGTGCCCTTTAGTGAGTTGTCTGTCCCTCCATCTGTCTCACTCTATTTATACAATTTCATTTGTCTGGAGCAGATTTTCTCTCCCCATGGTCCAGTGTGGCTCAAACTTTTCCCATGGGTAGAATGTGTGCAGTGATCTTGAATCATTTTTTTTAGATCAAAGGTCAAGGTGGAAAAACCTCTCTGTGTAAAATCCTTGCCTAGAGCACATTTTCTTTCCTCTTGGCCCACTTGGGCTCAAACTTTGCATATAGAGTGCCCATGGGTAGAGGGTGTGCAATAACTTTAAAGCAATTTTGTAGATCAAAGGTCAAGGTCAGAAGACCTCTTTGTATAAAATCTCTCTCTTCAGCATATTTTCATCCTCCTCAACCCTACTTGACTCAAACTTCAACAACACAGTGCCTGTGGGTAGATTTATTTTTATACACACTTTTAATAAAAGCTTGATAGGATTGCCCTAGTTGTTATATTGTTTTGGAATGGCGGGATTACCTCTTTTACATAAATCTTTATTAAACCCCAGACACTGTTATTTAGATTATTCTTCCTAGCTTAAAAACAGTTCTTAAATTTACATAGCCCTCAGTAGAGGCTATGCCAGACTAGACTTCTGGAAAGAGAACATAGAACTGACTCAAAAACTTTATGTATTAATACTGATGAGAATGACTGTCAAATCGAGAGAATGACTAGGGTATAAGGCAGATAGATACATATTATTACATCATGGATATATCCTGTTTCTTATCTAGTTGTCCACAAATACTTTTGTAAAATTAAATATACCCTACTAATTCAATCAACCATGATTTAAATACCTCGATCCGCCTACGTGAAAGGGGTTACCTGGTTCTGTCGGGAATTTTTATTCAATCGATCATAAAACCAACATAGGTCTATATATTTAGATTCAAATTATATGTAGCTGAAGACGATGGCTATTGTTTCATCCGTAGAAATTGATAAAATACATTTACCTTCTAAAATCAATGAAACTTCCTTTACAAAAATATGTCATTCTTTCCCATTCTGACCTCCATTGCGCACTTCGTTTTACCTCCACCTCAAAGAATATTTACATCCATTTACGATACACTGAGTGAGGGGAAAATATTTTCACCTTAGTATCTCTTCAATAGTCAATATTCATAAAGCACCCAGTGACAATGGCGGAATATAGGCCGCATACCAAGGTTTATGTCGGCGTAGAGCGGCGTAGTAGTAAACTGGCAGGGGCGATTTGTACGCTAAGCTTACAACGGCCAGCTGATGCAGGGCCGCGATTTACAACAATGGCTCATAAAAACCAACAAATGGCAGTAAAAATACCCAGTAAATTAGTTTTATTTGGATTAACAATGAATCTATATAGCATGAAAAGACAATAAAATATCTAAAACAAAAAATCACTTCAATGCATCTTACCTTAAACCTGAATTTTATCATTTTATGGTTCACCATTCGTCGCCCATCTTGCAACTAAAAAAGGTGAATGAGCAAATACCTTTTCATAAAACAAATTTTCATTGGTGAATTTATTGTCACGTGCTCGGATTTCACAGTTATGTCTAACGGGATTGGTTGATCTTGGCTTACTACAAAGATTCCTCTAATATTCAATCGCCAGAAAATCTCCCAACCCTCAATGAAGCATTATCGTCAGTATGCTTGTCAGATCTTTTAAAAGCAACTTTTGCATATTACAGTGAATAAAAAGAATCAATGTTCTTTGACAAATGTCATTGTTGCATGCAGGGACACTTCATGCTGCTGTAAATTATATGGAAGCACATTGTAGGGCTCTGTCGGAATATATAGCCACGCCCTTTTCTCTTAGACAAGGTATTCAGCCAATGAAATGCAGGCTGAGGTGTTCCAACGTAAACGTTACTACTATTTGTATGCAGTTACTATGTGACCTATTTTTTAATATGCCAGATCGGGGCCTGTATTAATTTTCTTGCAGCCGCAAGCACCCATCGTATTGCGTCGGTTACTTATTTTAGACTCAATTCAGGCAAATATATCTTAACATTTGATTTTATTTTAAAAAATGGGGTGTCTATGTTATATAGTTTTTAACAGTGGCGGATCCAGAAGATCGGGGGGGGGGGGGTGGTCGAGGCCCGAAGGAGGGTATGGGAAGGGGTGTTCCACCCATTGGGGGGTTCATCACATTTTTGTAAAAATAAAGCTTCAAATGGTGCATTTTCTAGCATGTTAGATAGGACTTCCTAGTTTTTTCCCCTTGCTTTTACATCTAGAACTTCTACTATGTCTCCTGAACATACATAAAAGTTTTTTTAAAAAATCATGAGAAAACAACAAACATGTACAATATAGACATATTACAGTCATTATACGCATACTATTTTTATACATTTTTAAAATTGACAGCTGGCCATCTTTTCATTACACAATGCAATTATTTTGTTCTGTTTATTATTATTAATTATTGGTTGAATAAATATTCTAAAAATATTACTCAAAGTTATAATCGTCCACTAGGTTTAATAGTAATTCTTTTATCTAGAATTTATAGATTTTTTTTTTTATTTTCTATTTCTTTTTTTTTTTCTTTTTTTTTTCTTAACACTATAACTTCTATCTACACAAGTTACAAGTACTTTAGGGGGAAAACGTTTGATTCTAAGGTGAGAGGGGTGATGGGTGACGGATTTTGAAAATAAATAATCTCTTCTCAACTAGCAAGGAAATGAATAATATTTTTAAAATTTCCCATAAGGATTTGAGGTTTCAGTTAAATAAAACTTTTGTTGATATGACCTTTGAACAATTGAGCAAAATCTCATCTTCTAACTCAGGAATAGAGCCTTATAACGCCTGTTCACTTCGCATTACTCTTTTTCATTTTGCGTTATAACGTTTTTTTTTTTTTTTTTTTAAAATCTCCATAGATTTAACAGGCTTTAGTTATCACTCCTAATATTTTTAACTTGCTTTTTGTACATTTATCAGCTTATATTCAAATGTTAGTTTGTTTGTTTTTTCAATACTTGGGTGCCAGAAAAACCGCCTATATCATTGTTTACTTTGTTTGAAAAAAAATACATGTATATAAACTATTTACCCTTTTTGTTATCTTCAAATTGTCATTTGTCCTTACTAGCCGTTGAAACCGAGGGTGGGTAGGGGTGGGGGGGAGCACACGGGGGACTATACTTTCCCATATAATTTTGCATATATATCGTGTACAGGCACTGAAGGAAACAAAGCTACTTAACGCTTGTGCCATCTCAATAATAATGTCTGATGACCTTTTTTTTTTTAACTTGTCAAGGTTTTTTTTTATAGTGCCCCAGCTAAAAATAAAATATTTGATTGCTCCCCTCCCCCAGTCTCCAACTAAAAATGCTTCCTACGGCCTGCTTAGTAACGATACTAGCTACAAGTAATGGTTTAATTGGTCAGGAAGAGTTAATTTTGAATTTGATTAATATTAAGTTACACTAGGCCTATAACAGAAATGCAAACATTTAATTTCTTTTCCTTTGTTTTGCACATTCTTTCATATGGTAGATTCAGACGCAGATCCAGGAAGTTTTTCCGGGGGGGGGGGGGGGGCACCCCAGTCAAAAAATTTCCAACCCAGAAATTTCTTGACAAGCAAATAAAAAAAATTATTTTACTTCACTATGTACTTTTAATAACTCTGCAAATCCCGGGGGGGGGGGGGGGGGGTCTGACCCCTCTAGATCCGCGCCCGTAAAAAGCAAACTGTCGCAAATTTATTTTAGAGTTATCTTTCTTTCTACTGTAGATGTCACATGGTTTAAGGTCATGACCTCGTTATAGCAACGAAAGACGCTACGTCAGAGTATTGTTTACATTTTGCAAAGATGTCGGTGACGGAGACGGATCCCCCTTTTCGTGCTATGGTAAGGGCTAGCGGTCTAGGCGAAGTCTGGACCCACAGCACAGAAGCCAGTAAATTCAACCAATTTGGCTGGAGATGTACAAATAAAGAAAACTCGTACTCTAACGACACATTAATTGGTAATTGGAATGAGCAAAGATTCGATATCGATATAGAAAAACAGGCTAAACGGAACCCAGGCCAGGTATGCATAATTGAATTTAGCCATATCTCTCTTCAAATAATATGTCTAGAATTCCTAAAATAATCATTCCCTATGGGACCCCCACCCACCCCAATCTCATTTGCATTGCTGCACCATATTGGTCATGACACAGTATAGGCCTGATTAAAATAATTGATTTAGAATAGCCTAAAGAAACTATTGTGGGGGTGCTCATCTCATAAAATTTAGGTCTAATTTACTACAAGAAAAGAAAGAAGAGTTTATTATAAGTCAAAAATCATATTTCGTTAAGAGAGAGAGAGAACCTTAATTGAACCCCAATTCCATCCCCTTTGTGGAATAGAGACAGAAAGTCGGGGGGGGGGGGGGTATAGTGACAAGCAAACTTAAAGGAGAAATATATTTGACATTGAAGTTGTACAATACATGCTAATTAATTTTGTGAGTATTATAAAGTATATGTACATGTATACATGAAATATATATGATGGTTTCATAAGTTTGATTCATTTCTATTTCAGAATGAACATTACTTCGAGTCAAGTTACGGAGTCAGTTATAATAAATCACCACCGTATGAAGTTCCTAAGGAGTTAATTCATTTGAAAGGTATCAACTACATAGAACCTAGATTTGAGAATATGTATTTTTTTTTATATTTGCTCTGATGGTAAAAAATTGACGACATACATGACGTAAAATGGTTATCTTCGGACGCTGTTGTCAAAGAGAAAAAAAATGTCAGCGATTATTTGAAGGGATATGAGGTGTATTTTGAGAATTTTGTTTTGCTGCAAGAAAGTGCTTCGTAATGAACAATAGTGAATGCATGTGTCTTAGCCATCTGTGATCGATAAGACAAAAACAAAGCATTAAATTTGGGTCATCAGTATGAAATGTGTACATGTTTATTATGATTTAATTTGTGGTACAGGACGACAATGCTGCAATAGAATATTACCTCTCCATAACCAAAAGTTTCGACATGCGGACAGAATGATTTAATTTATAGATTATGCTATGTTTCAGATAATGAAATGTTTTAAGCCCATGCAATCTGAATCTGAGATTGTTTGCTTTTCTTCACAGAGAGACACTCTCATGCATTTCCGGGACACCAACCTGAAATTGACCACCCTAAGCTGAAATCCGTTTATAATAGTTGGGAAACTACCACCCGCGCCGCCTATGTAGATCCTAAGATCCGCCGACAGCCCCTGAAAGATCCAATCAGCTAGTCAAAGGATAGCCATTAGAATAGTATTGACATTTCATTATTGAATATTGATTTAAATAGGTACATGTAACACAACGTACACCTTACGAAAGATATAGATATAATATATTGAGACAGTGATGTGAACAAGATTCTTTTCTCTTTACTTATCTGTAAGAGTATATATTATATTTTTATGAGATTTTTTTTTCATTACAGTATTACTCCAGTATTATATAACTGTAACCAGAGCCTGTATATGCTTCAGTATTATATTTGTCATATAAGAACTGCATAATTTCTTGGTGGTTGATTTGCTCTGTTTACTGCTCAATTTCGTATTTTACTATTTGCTAACTTGCTGGGTTTCCTTTTCACATGGAATGCATTTTTATGTAGTCTATTACTTAGACTTTGATTTTATAAATACTTTTTTAAAAATACATTTTTATGTATTTGTTATCAGACTGAATAAAACTTTTACAAAGATTTTTTTTTTGTGGAAAAACCAACTTACTTGAAAAAGACATCGAGAACTACCTTCTTTTGGTATGCAATAGATACAATTTCTGAATGATCTATATTGGGAACGAGCCAGCCATTACATTGAAATATAATTCAAATTGTTTGAAACACGAAATCACCAATCAGTTTACTATTTTTAGGATAGCAACATAGAAACGACATCCATTCTAATAGCGGAGAATTCCGGGGGGGGGGGGGGGGGCTTCTAGTTCCAGGAGGACTACTAGTATAAATATTTTTTTCTGTGTGCAGTTATGTTTTCGGAAGGCTTCAAGGTTAAACTATAAAATATTTAATAAGTATGATGCATACATGAGTTAAAATCGGCTTTGTTTAGAAAGACTAAACACCTTTGGACAGAATTATAGCCATTCATTGCCTTCAACTCAATGAAAATGATGTTAAACATTTTTTTGAAAATGGAATTATTTGAAGACAATCAGCTTATTTTTTTTTTTAAATACTTTGCCCCATACATATAGATGACCTTTGCATCTAGCGTTCTCCGTCTGTCCGTCCTCATTTGCGTTTCATCGAATTTCAAAACTTAAAATCTAAGATATACCAACATACCGAAACAGTTACATGATGAAAGCAATTCAACTGATTTCATAACCTTGGTCTTTCTTGTGACCTTCTGAAATGTCTTTCTTCGATCATCGATTTTGTATTATTTAGCTCGATCATGTTTTTGAAGACATGTATACTCCTTTCTACAATGTCATTTAGGGATTTATCTTGATGTGTGCATTCCAACATAACAAGGAATATCGCGATTGTCAAAATGGTGTTTCAAATCTACCCTCGGATAGAGTTCCTATATCTTATGTTATTACTTTGTCATGATTGTCATTTGACCTGTCTTTTCCATGTAAACACTGAGACTAGCAGATTGTCTTACATCTGTTGTGATGTAAATATACACTGGTGTAATGTAGCTTAGACTCTATCCTCACAACGTTAGCACAGGTGCTTGAGGACAGGAACCCCCCCCCCCCCCGATATAGACCCCCGGGCCTTTTCGACTTTTTTCTCTTAAATTATCTTTCAATGATATATTTGTGATATAATCTATACCAACAATTGGAAAAATTACCTAAAACAAACATTTTACAAAATCTACCCACTCTCTTTATATAAATCAACCCTTGTTAATTTATATATATGTATAGAGTAGGGTAATAATTTTTATAAAATGTTTGTTTAAGCCAATTTTCCGAATTAATGATATAGATTATATCACAGATGTGTTATACATATATAATTTAAGGGGAAAAAAGTAGAACAGGCCCGGGGTGTATATCGGGGGGGGGGGGGGGTCCTGTCCTCAAGCACCTGTGAACGTTAGGGGTCTTTAGTCCACTCGTGGCCGTGGGACCTCTTTTTGCGGAGTGACTGCAGCGACATTTTTCGGGAAAATTACAATCCTGATTGTTTTTTTTTTCTTATCTGTCGACTAATCACATCAAGGCTTTCGATGATAAACAACAGTGGAACCCTGGTTCAATCTAATTGATTGCGCATACGTTTGCACGCAGCGTTGTTTCATATGCGTCACAGTACCCTTTATCATCAGTACAAACCAGTAGAGCTACAGTCTCGTCAGAGATTCTGGTTGTTGAGGTGGAAGGATAATAGGGAGATGGGCTTTTCTCTCTATATTTGTAGACAAAATTCACGCGAAAGAACGGCTGGTGAACTTTTTATTTGGGTTATGTAACTAGATGTTTGAGATTCTTTGGTAATAAAATGAGGATAAAATATCTAATTTCTTTTTTCCTTCATGGAATCCTGGAATGGGCGTCTGAATTCGTGTTTGTAGGCGTGTTTGATAGTAAAAACTAAAAATTATTAAATGTTTATCAAACTTTTGTCGAAAATACTATTCAACTAATTTTCGATCTAAATTCTTAATATAGATGATGAAACATTTCAAAAAACTGGAAAGTATCCGACATGCACACCCTACTAAAAATGTACAATGTTCAAAGTAGATTATCATTATTAAGGTACCACAAAAGCACATAAAGATAGTTGTATTCAATTGATCCCAAGATACTTTACTACAAATGTATAATAAAAATCAAGAGCTGTACTTAAAAAATGTAAGCTGTGTTCAATTGATCATAAGTTATTTTATCAAAAATGAATAGGAAAATAACATTTAAAAAGAAAAGAGCTGTACACAAGAAATTGCAAGGAAAGCATGCATTTCTGCATTGTAGATCACATGCAATATATCTACAGTGATCTATAGAAAAAAAAAACGTCGTCAAAGTGTTTCTGGTAAATATGGGAGATTACATAGTTATAGCTGGGTAAACATGGCCAATCACACTCAAGTATATTCTTTTGATATAGATAATAAATATGAGTGTGTGTGTATGTATGTGCTCCGCCTGATCACCGTCTTACAGGCATCGATTCTATGTATTCATTGACTTTGTTTTTTTTTTAATTAATTGGTAGTGAGTATTTTAAAACAATATATTCTCATTTCACAAAAATAACGTTTGTTTTTGCACAAGACAGCAGATCACGGCTACAAAACCTTAACTGTAATGAGTATTGATCAATGACAACTTGAAATTTATTTCGGGGGAATCAGAACTCCTCTTCTGAGTCATGTTCATACAAGTCTTGTTGTAAAGAGTCATATACAGCATCCTTCTGTCTCACAATAGGCGGCGTGTCAACAGTAGTGTCCACATATACCCCAGCATTTCTCTTCGACTTCAAGAACACCTCCATATCTCTCCGATATTCTTCGTTTCTTGCTCTTCAAATAATAATCTATATCTATGGAATTAAGGGTATAGGAAAAAAAGGGATATCATTGTTTTTCAAATACATATGTATAATGCTCTTGCAGATTTTAGTCTAATGATATCATATGCATTCTTTCGAAATACATTTGTGTACATTTTACGTAAGAAATGAAATATTGTACTTTAACTTTTGTGGGAATTACGATGAACAAAGGACATTCATTTTCTTGATATTTATCATAACGCAGTGATTGACTTGCCGACTTGCTTGCTACCTATATCTATCAAATAACATACCTGTGTCGTCGGTAAGTTATCCATGCAGCTAGAATCAGAGCAGCTGAAAACAACAGTCCGAACACCAAACCAACAATGCCACCTTATAAAAGTCAAAAATTCGTTATTAAAAATAATTTATGTAACTAATTTTGTTGAAATGTCTACTACGGGGGGGGGGGGGGGTTCCATGAGACAAGTCGAGTTTTTGGAAAAGCGTTTTTCTTTCTTTCTTTCTTTTTATGCCCCCGTAATCGAAGATTCAGGGGCATATAATTTTTGCCCTGTCCATCCGTCTTTCTGTTTGTCCGAAAAACTTTAACATTGCCCATAACTTTTGATTGGTTGGAGCTATGGCTTTCATATTTCACATGTGTTTTCCTTATGACAAGACCTATCTTTGGCTACCATCATATTTGACCTCGGAGTTTGATCCACTTTTGCAAAATTTTATGAGACTTTGACCTTGACCTTGGAGTTTGACTTGTTTTAATTTTGAAAAACTTTAACTTTGGCCATAACTTTTAAACAGTTAGTGGTAGGGTTTTCATACTTCACATGTGTATTCCCTGTGACAAGACCTTCCTGGGATACCAACATCTTTGACCCTTTGACCTTGAAGTTTGACCTACTTTTGAAAAACTTAACCTTGGTCATAACTTAAACAGTTGGTGCTAGGGCTTTCATACTCCACATGTACATTTTTTGTGACAAGACCTTCCTTGAGATACCAACAATTTTGGCATTGACCTAGACTTTGGAGTTTGACCTGCTTTTTTTTAAAAAAAAAAAAAAAAGCAAACTTTTACTTTGGCCATTATATTTGAACGTTTGATTCTAGGGCTTTCACATTTCACGAACATGTGTATCACTTGTGACAAGACTTTCCCTTGGGCACCATTTGACCTTGACCTTGACGTTTTACTTACTTAAAACCTTACTTTACCGTAACTTTCAATGGTTGGTGATAGGGTTTTCAAATTTCACAGAAATTCATCGTGACAAGACCTTTCTTTGGGTCACAGGTGTTTGGGTCGCTTAAATCCGACTTACGAAAAACTTGGGGTGTAAAAAAAAAAAAAGAGTGAAAAAATAGGTCAATGTTGGAATTTAATTCAGTATATCTCGGGAAGAATATACGGAATTTCGGAATGAACTTTGGTATTATTGTAGGTTGTTTATATGTGAATAGATATGAATAGAAAGTAAAATTTTAGATCTTTGATTTAAAAGTGTTTTATTGGCGAAAGTGGGAACCCTATAAAATGAGTTCCATACCTTTACTATTATTTTTTTTACACCCCAAATTTTAAAGCGATCTAAAGGCCTGTGCTTTGATCTCTTGACCTTGAGTTTGACTTGCATTTGAGGAACCTTAACCTTCGCCATAACCTGCCATACGGGGGCACCAGTGTTTCACAAACATATCTTTTTTTTTTTTTTTTTTTTTTTTTTTACTTTGTTCTTGATTTTCATTATTTATTAACGAAAGTCGATTGAGCTCATTTTCGTAAAAAAAAATTAAAAAAAAATAATAATAAATTCGCGTTATAACGCGTAACTTTCGCGAATAAACGCAAAACTTTCCCTGTAAAACAGACATTTACATAAGTCTCGTATATATAAATTATGGAGGAAAAGTAGACCCCTCATCCCCGATAAATATCCTATTATAATTATTATTTAAAAAGCTCATGAAATGGTACATTGTTCCCTTACTTTAAGCCAGATTTCTCCAGTGTATAATTTATAGTCCAAAATGATGGATTTCTTTACAGTGGTAAAGTTGTTGTGAACTTTAATGATAAAAAAGAGCCTTGAAAAAGAAAGTGACAAGTGGAAATCTTCCTGAAAAATAAATCAGACTAAAGAATTTCTTTGATTCAACAAGTGAAAAACAAGAAAATCTTTAAAGGAATATTAATTTTTATTAATTAGTACGGTTTAAAGATTAAAGGCAAATTTCTCAAGACTAATCTATCCATTTCTCGCATCATTTCTCTTTTACATCTTCTGCAGAAATGTCATTTATAAATTCACAGAAGTCCCCGTCTGCGTTCATATGTTTCTTATCTGTCAGTCAAGAACACAGGTTCCTGAGTTACATGACTATGAATGAATAATTTCGCGCCAAAACGCGAAAGTTGCGAAGGTTTCGCGTTTTAACGCAAATATTTTTTTTACCATACGAAAATGATCTCAATGGGCTTCCGCATTACTTTTTTTTTTAATTCTGAGCTTTTTTGTATCCCTCGGAAAAAAAATCTTGTATCTGCCCATGGATATGTGTGTCCAAGAGAGAGAGAGAGAGAGAGAGAGAGAGAGAGAGAGAGTTTACCTATTTCATGCTCTACAAAAGTTTCGAATTTGTTTTCAGATTCCCCTCCATCCGTAAGAGTTTGATTTGAGATATTCTCGGTTGTTGGAACAATAGTGGTGGTATCTGAATCTCCTGTAAAATAATAGTGCATATTAAACAACTTTTACTTTAAAAACAAAACAAAAAGAAAAAACAAACAAACAAACAAACAAAAATATCAAGCAGAAGTAATGAGAAAGTCTTTAGAAATGCAACCGAATGAAAACTAAGAATTGTCCAAATACATGTATTTATGTTTAAAAACCTTTTCTTTTTTAAATATGTAGAAAATTCAATCACTGAAACGTCACTTAATTGTTAATGAGTGAGGAAAGGTAGTTTTAATTTGTTTGGTTGATTACCCCCCCCCCCCTTTAATTGTTCTGGTTTTGTTATTTCCGTGTAAGTTTCCTATTATTTTCCCTTTTATTTTATTTAAGTTGTTTAAATTATTATTTTTTATTTTAAGAAATTTAACATCCTTTAAGCAAAACAATTTATGGGCGTTTTTAGCAGGGGAGTTTGAATTTGAGTCCGAACGTCACAAATCAGGTAGTAACTCGGTGGAATAACGGTTTAAATTATTCAAACCACACGATAAAATAGATGTTAAATTTGGAATTAAGATCTCACCAGCACTTATCGCGAAATTCTGCTAAATTTAGGGCTCTGCTTTAAGCAGCTCCACAGTAAAAGAATTATACACAAGGCATTAAACTTGAAAATGTGATGCATGGGTTGGGTTGGGTGCTACTAGTAATGTTTAGGATAGTAAAGACAGACATAAAATTTAGGGGAAAAGAAGAACGTTATTTTAATTTTTATTTTAAAAAATCAACTTCAGCTAGACAAATTAAAAATGATTTTGTTAAAAAAAATATAGATTTATAACTACTTGGATCATTGGAGAGACAAAATAGGAATCCGTACAATACCGTGTTTCTTTGCAATATGAAGTCGACTTGGGCTAGGTATGGTAGTAGCCATTGCCCATGGCCAGTCTCCAACGTTCACCGAGACTCGTGCTCAGTTTATGAGAATGACATTTTTTAAGCATGACAAAGTATGAGTATTTTTCATTCTTAATAAAAAAGAGAACGAGAGCCAATGAATAACATGGTTAAAACCCTGGGGTGGGGTACGTATCGTGAGTGAGGGTGAGGGAGGAGGGCATAAATTAACGATGATTGTTTTAGTATGACAGAATAACAGGTTAGACATCTGTATATACGTATACATGTATATACCTGCATCTCAGGGTGTACATACTGTTAAAAAACGCAACTTCCATGTAGTTGGATTAAAAAAAATACACTGGAAGAATGTAAGGGATTCTAAAAACTTACCTCTTCCCCAAAACATTACTATAGTTTTAGTAGGTACATAACAAAGAGATTGCATTCATTCAAGTAGATTTGCCGATATCTAACAGTCTAATAAAATAATGTGTACCTACACATAATCAAAGTTCAGAGATTACACAGCTATAGCTTCCACTTATCTTCATGTAGATTCGTGTATGATGCAATCTTTATACATGGCTAAAACATATTTGTATTTTAATACATGTGTTATTTACTTATTTTCGATCTATTGTATCACTCGAGATAAACATTTATCTGCATATGTGTGACAAACGGACAAAAATGGTGTTGGACATATAGTCGGTGCATATTGTGCAAGGGTGGATCCAGTTTTTATACCCCCGCTCCGAAGGAGAGGGGGTATACTATTTTACCCTTGTGTGTCGTGCTGTCTGTCTGTCCGTCCGTCTAGCTGTGTGTCTGTCTGTCCGTTACAAATTTGGTCGCAGTTTTCTCAGCAACTACTCATTGCAGAAGCTTGAAATTTTAGCACACTCTTTGTTTAGGCATGCCATATAGTGGATTCATTTTTGTACAAATCCGATGTCAATTTCCTGATTATCACTGTGTCTGTCCATAACTGAACTTGTGTATTCACATCAGAGCGGGGGTATTATTAGTGAGCATTGGCACACAGACTTCCTGATTGTTTTTTAATTAGAAGGGGGGGGGGGGGTATCGAATTAAGATATAAATTGACGAGCCAGAACAAAATAATTGCAAAAAACATAGTATGAGGAAATGTTGGAGTTCGAAGACATAAATCACATTGTCATGTCGATGTAATAAAATTAAAAATTCCTAAAGGGAATTTACCCCCCTCCCCGTCGGATCTGATTTTGGATTGTTGAAAATATCGGTTCGCATATAAATATTTGAAAAGGTTTCTTCTTCTGATTTTTATTTTTGTTTTTATTATTGTTATTATTTATTAATAAGCTTCAAAACAATTTGAAATGGACTCCACCGTCCATAGAACAATTGTTTACATCTATAAATAAACTTTGAAAATTGAACTTGAATACTATCCCATTTCGATCAGCACTCGGGTAGGGGACTAATGCGTGTTACACAGTTGTGATGGAATCTAGTGACTGGCATGGACCTAACACTTATTTAAGAGGTAAAGGTAGGGAGACAGCCAGAATTGGAAAAAAAGGTGTCTAAAAAGAAAGGAAAAAAATACTCCCCAAGCTCGAAAGAAACTGTTTAAAGGATGGGGGATGGGATCCTCTCTCTTTTCGGAAAAAAATTCAATAAATGGAGTCCATCGCGCCATTGACTGAAAATTCTCATGCTAACTTAAAATCAAAAAGACTTTTCTAAGGGATTTGGGGTGGGGGGTCTAGGGAAAAAGTTGGGGACACCCTCCCCCTCCCCTCCCCCCGATACTACCTACTTGCCTGAATAAAAATATAAAGAAGAAAATAACACTCTAAGTTTCCTTGAAAGGTGTTACGTAACATTCCAGTGACTGGCATTGACATGTTAGAATAATTATGTTTGTAGCTAGTACACCTTTCAAGGTTCGCGCTTTTGAAGACAGTGTATATAAATTATTATATAAATATAGTCTTTTCATGAGGTCGATCCATAGATATATCGACTCCACAGAAAAGCATATCGACCGAGCACGAATCTATGGATCGACCTCATAAAAGGGCTACATTTGTTTGAATTTAAAAGAATTTAAAAATTGTATACTTTTAACACTCAGTAAATGTTAGTTTGGTCATAAGATATGCAAACATGGTGACTTATAAAGTACCAATGCACTGTCCCGTGGTATCTTTTGCAATTTAGTGGAATATATCTATTCAGTATATGTATATCTCTGGGTTTTTTTGCATTATGGTATACACGGTGGTACTTGTTTATACTTTACAATGTGTATTTCAAATTGTACATGTTAGCAATTATCTCAGCTTATGAACCATGAGTAAATTGACTAAGTATATGCTGAATATTACTATTATCACATATTGTGAATAATTATTATACTTCTTTGTTCTGTTTAATAAGCATGTATGTAATATGCTCAAAAGGGCCCCGATTTGGAATAATAAATAAATATATAAATATAAATATATTATTTTTTTTTAATAGAGATTTTAAAATTATGGGAACAAGTCACAAGTTTTCTCTCTCGTCTTTTTTACACTTAGAGACTAAAGATCAAAATAAAATAAATTAGTCTGTTTAATGTCATTGTATTTCCTTTATACCGATAGAGTAATTTAGGGAATTTACTAATTTAAAAGGCTACATTTGTTTTATTATGTTTTGTATCCATTTTTTGAAAAACATATCTAATATATATGTTTTAATATAAAGTAGATCCTTATTCAAGGCATTGTTACGTCTTACCAATTATTACAGAACATCACAATTATAAATAGGAGTTGAAGTATTTTTTGTCAGAAACATCAAGTCATACACTGTATTAACTATTGTGAAATCAGCACTTTTGTTGTTTTACAGAAAATTATTTCCATTTTTAGAAACATCAAGTCGATATGCATTTCAGAATTCTTTAAATAGTAACACAAGTCTATATGCTCTTATAAACTTAATCATGTGATTAAGTTTGAGCCAATCAGAGAGCTTGGGATAAATGAGAAAAATAATATATAGTGTTATTAATTTTAAATTACATGTAGGTGTACTGTTAGGATCCCCGTGGTCCCCGTGTGACTTTTTTTTTCATTTGTCCTTTTTACACGCTGTCTCCATGGTCTAGAGCAAGATGAATCAGAATTGTCTACAAATAAGGTATTTGTATGGAAAAAAAGAGAATTTAAAACGTCAGAAACTAAACAAAGGTTAATTGTACTCGTCTTATGGAAAGAGATTTTGTGTCAGTCTGTAGTGACCTTGACCTTCCATATATTGTCGTAAAATATAAAGAATATATATGGTTATTTTCGTGCAATTTTCCCATAGATATGTGGTTTGTTGCTTGATTTGGACAAACACAAAGTGTATCTTACCTTTGTAGCATATTTTTTTCTTTTTTGTATATATATATTTTGATTGTCAACCTTTGGACATTTACGATAAACAAATACGACCTGATTGCGGATCAGGAAAGAAAACAAAGACTGAACTATTGAAAAAGACGAAGTCAGTTACTCTCAAAGGTTCGTCAGTTTACCTGTGAATTGAACGGTGATGTGTCCGTATTTCAGTGTAAGATGAAACGATGAACGCTCGAACACAAATGCTCGAACTGGTGAGTCGCATTAAGTGATTAAATTCTCTCCCGTTTTGGCGTAATTTTAGTTCGAAAATACTCTGTCATTGTGCAATGTCATGATTCAACGTGTAAAGTAGCTGAATTTTCATAGTATGGCCTGGCATATGATTCATTTTCCTGTATTCAATTAAAAAAAAAACAGACCTCTATATTACCAGGGACCTATATACTATATAGGTCCCTGATATTACCCTGAAAAAAAAAAAATACAAAGAAGTATCATTGTTAAATCATATGTGTGATATAAGAATAGCACTGGAAATGAATGAAAATTATAACATTTGTTTTATCTGCCATGCTTGTTTATATATGTACATGTGTTTTTTGCATGTTAATTTATGTTGTAAACGTTTTCTATATGTGATATTTTTAGCTGTGATAGTCGGTTTAAGAGCTCTACAGAGCTCATGTTTATTGTTAATCTATGTAAAAAATGCTGACTTTAAATAAAATTTACTTACTTACTAACATCCGGTGAGACTAATTTGTCAACCTGTCAACCAACCCGTAAAACTCTTGACTCTTGAAAACTCGAACTCTTGATCTCTCAAAGTTTTTCTTTGGTATTTCAAAATATCTAGAGCTACCTGTATTTGATTTATTGTCATTGACCTGTGATTTTAATAATATATGCATCTTGATATTGCAGTCAGTAGAAGGTCGTCAGATTGAAGAGACAGTCAGTGGTGAGTAAATTTAAATTGGAAGAGGGGATTGTAATGGTTGTTGCTAAAATGCGGATTGGAATGGAAAATATGATATCCAGGTTAATCACTTGACAAATACTGTAGACATATCATTTACTGTTTGGGATTAATTTTTGTATGTACACAGTCACAAGTTTTCCATGGAATTTTGTCACAGAGTACTTAAAGTGCATTAAAGAAATACAAATGTCTGTCTAAGAAATCTACATAATTTTATATCCGCAGATTGAACAGAAATTGTGATTCTGTTGAATTATGATTCTGTTGGAAAAAGTATGTTTACAGTATATAAATCATACAAGAAATGATATTATACAATTAATGACTCTCTAGGTAGTGAATATGGTTTGATATTCACCATAAAAATATCAATATTGATATGTCAGACTTTAAGTTATATCTGTTTCCCTTTCATTGTGTGTAAGTCTGTAAGACATCATTTCCCATCAAAATGTTTTGAAAATAAACATTGGGCTTATGCAACATTTTTCCTGCTCAAATTCATGGTTGGGTTTGTCCGTTGCATCCATTGTTTACAACATTGTTTGAGGTGTTGTTTGTGATGTCACAATTGCAGCTGCATGAGCACTGACCCTCTAGTGAATACAGCTTACGTTTGTGTTTGTATAGATTATATAGGAAGTATAACTAGACTATATGATAAATATATATTTTATATATATATATATATATATATATATATATATATATATATATATATATATATATATATATAAAATCAAGGATTATCATTTAGTCATGTTAACTTTATTCTCATGTGAAGATAGTTGCACATAGCATAGGGTACGGAAAGCAGAACAAAAATTATAAATAATGCAGTACATCTATAAACATAAAATTTTACAGTAAGAATAAAGATATTTATTACATTTTCAACAGTGAAATACTGTAATTTATTTACTGAATAAAAGTGATATTTTGACAGAGTGTAAGAGGATATCAAAATGGTATTCTCACAGTGTGAGTATATCAGAAGTGCGCAAAACTTACGATTTTTCTTCCATACACTAAGAGTGTTTTTAAAAAAATCCCCGGTCTGTTATAAGATAGAGTTAATGAGACTAATAGTTATACTGCCAATGTTTTTCCAAATTTGTCATTAAAAATCCATGTGTACAACGTTTTTCAATCTTGCAATCACTTAGCTACAGTGTCTCAACCGCTTAACTATGACATCACAGCATATGACACTGTGTTACGAAAAGTCAAACGCAAAGGGAAAATCTAAGAAAATGTAATAAACAGAAAATTCAATGTTTTGAAGATGAATATAGAATTTATTTCACTCGTGAGACAGGCTTTTTTTGATATTTTCACTCATGCTTCATACTTGTGAAAATGTAAAAAAAATCCTGTCCCACTCATGAAATGAATTCCATATTCATCTACAAAACATTGAATATCCTCTATTTATTTATAGAATAAATTCATTAAACCCCATCTGATCAACATGAATGGCCAGTATTTGATTTTTGTGTGAACCACGGTATGAGGGAACAGAACATAATTTTCAGTGAATATGTATAGTAAATGCTCAACAGATGTGTAAAGTTTTAGTCAACTAAAAAATAATGGGACACAGTGCAACCAAGACTGCTTTTTGCTTCACCTGAGCTGAAGGCTTAAGTGAGCTTTTCTGATCAAAATTTGCCTTAGTTGTCATCATTTTCATTGTTGTCGGCATTGTCACCATAAACTTTTCAACATTTAATCTCCTCCTCAATTTCATCTAAAGAACCACCAGGGCCAATTTCAACCAAAATTGCCACAAAGTATCCTTGGGTGAAGGGGATTTAAGTTTATATAAATAAAGGACCACATGCTCTTTCAAGGGGAGATAATCAATAATTAGTGAAAATTTAATCGCGTCTTTCAATGATATTCTCCTCAAGAACTGCTTGGGCAGAAATACATGTATTGAAACTTATATGAAAGCATCATTATATAGTGTAGATTCAAATCTGTTTAAGTCATGACCCCCAGGGTAGGGTTGGGACAGATGTGGCAATCAAAGTTTTACATAGGAATAAATCGGGAAAAAATCTTTTAAAATCTTCTCAATAATTTCAGTAAGGCATGATTAGCCATATTGATAAGACAGCATCTTCAGGTAGTGTAAAATAAAATTTGTTCAAATCATAACCCTGGGATTGGGTGGGGCCCACAAAAGGTCATCAATGTTTCACAAAGGAATATATAGGAAAACATCTTTAAAAATCTTCTTCTCAAGAACTGCAAAGGCATGATCAATCTTTAAGTTATTGATATGAAAGCATGTGTGTTGACTCATTTTTGCTCAAATCATGACCCCCTGTGGGTAGGGCAGGGCCACAATAGGAATATATAAGAAAAAAATCTTTAAAAATCTTCTCAAGAACAGCATAGGCATGATTAGTTGTATTGATATGTATGAAAGCATCCTCAGGTAGTAGTGTAGATTTAAGTTTGTTCAATTCATGACTCTCGGGGGTAAGGTTTGGCCATAATAGGCAATCAAAGTTTTACATAGGAATATATAGGAACAAGTAAATTCAGAGAATTGTGGTCCGTCACTTTCAGTGTCTTAGTGGCTGGGATGAAATATTTATGGCATAATGTAACTGTCTTGTGTGTTTTTCCTGTCTTGTCTATCCATCATTAATTATGTAAAAATACATAATACAATCTGAAAGATCTTGTCACAGGTAATGCACATGTAAAAAAAAATGTAAAAGCCCTGTCTCTTCTGCAAAAGTTACGATCAAAGATAAAATTTTTTGTAAGTAGGTCAAACTTCTAGGTCAAGGTCATGAAGTCAAAATCGATAGTTCTTTCTGAAAGGTGTTGTCACACAGATAATGTACATGTAAAATATGAAAGTGTCTTTCTCATTCAAAATTTATTTTATGAAAGCTACCATTAATAGCAAGCACAGTGAGCGGCGCTCTTCACTGCGAGCTCTAACGACAATGCCTGTGCAAAGAGAAAATTCGGACTACTGCACATTAATTCAATAGAATTTTTCGCACGCCCTAGAACATGTATATAAATAACTTCATACAAGATTTTCTGTTTCTGTTCCTTTCTGCTCCATTTTCCATTCCGCATTTTAGCAAAACCCAGTTGTGATGGGGATCAACTGTAGGTTCTCTAGTCTGTAGCTATTACATGTATATTTCTTCTGTATTTAAATTCACATAAAAGCAAATATTTATATTTTGTCATAGGGAAATATTTTTTGTGTCATTTTTACAGGTATATTTCATACATTGTTGCTTCACAGAACTGTTGGAAAGGTAATCACACATTATTATTCTATAATGTCAATGATGTGAATTTTTTAAGTTTTATCATTGTTGGAATCAATGGTAAATTAATTAAGCTAGTATTTATTTTTTGTTCAAGTTCCATTACAAACAAGAGGGAACTTATTCTATAGGGACTGTTGGTATACAGGATGTAGACTGTGACTTTGTAGATTTTACTTATGTAAGTATACTTTAAATTTTACCTTGGGCTCCTTACCTTTATTTATAATGTGTATTGTTTTAGTCTTATGCCTGCATCAGTACTACACCTTTTCAGCTTCTTTTAAAGAATTTGGATTGTACAAATGAAGACTTGTCTGGAAAATAGAATACTTGTATTAAAAATAGTGTCATTTTGATTATAGCTAGTATAAATGCTCTATATTGATACTAAACAGTTGACTCTTCATTCTATATGTATTAATATCTATAATGTAGCAATGAAAATTATGATTTGAAACAACTTTATGATTAATAAATTTGGACACTTATCTTTCAGGTGAGAGTGGCATCTGATGGTCTTGATCAGACCATTAAGAAAGACATTGCTTTATTCAGGGATACACTCCGCAGCACAGATAATCCTGGATCGGGACAAGTATTATAATTTTTTTTTTCTCATTGAGTAACAAAGCACTGCATTTTAAGCAATAGTCTTACATATCAAGACATAAATGCATTTTTACTTAGAAATATGATTGCATTGAAACTTAATGTAAATTTTGATCAGCTTATCCTGATTAACAGATTTCCTTGGAGTTCTACCAGAAGAAGAGAGCCCGGTGGCCATTTCCTGCCGAGTGTATCCCATGGGAAGTCTGGACAGTAAAACTGGACATTTTAACTCTTAATAATGAAAATGGTAAGAGGGAATTTTTGTCAAGGAATGCACGAGAATATCGGTACTAGATTTATAAATCATCTTAAATAAAGTTTTTCTAAGATTTCACAATTTTCAAAGAAAGCTTTGTGAAAACTTTATACAATGACATGTAGTTTTACATCATAACATTGTACAATGTATTTTCTTAACATATTTATACCCCCCGCTTGAAAAGTGGGGGGTGTATAGTGATGGGATGTCCATCCATCCATCTGTCCATCCATCCATTTCGGGGTACCCATCTCTTATCAGCAACTCCTCATACCACTGAATAAAATTTAATGAGACTTTCACAGAATCTTTGTAACATAGTGCCATTGTGCACTTCCTATTTTACTTTTTTATCAGACACATAATTCGGGTTTCCAATAGCAAAACATAGACACTGCCATTCTTTCTATAATATAGAAGGGTACCCATCTCTTATCTGCAACTCCTTCTATATCACTGAATAAAATTTAATGGTACTTTCACAGGATCTTTATTACATAGTGCCATCTTGCACTTACTATTTTACTTTTTGATCGGACACTTATATTGGGTCTCCCATCACAAAACATGGACTTTGCAATCATAATCATTTGTGATGCAGGGGGTATCATTTTTTGAGCTCAGTGCTCATAGTACCTCTTGACTAGTTTAAAAAATTTAAAAAAAAAATTAATTAAAAAAAATATTTTGTAGAGAGGCAGATTTGCAGGGAAAAACTAGGAGAAATGTTAGGAGAGAAGGTCATGAATATTGCAGATCTAATGAATCGCCATGAATATGTTCCCAAGATGCCAAACCAAGCAGAACTGGATTTGGTATTTGATACAAGTATTTCAGATGTACAACCTTACTTATTCAGGGTAGGTGAAAGAAACATGATTGAGATACATCTGGTCATGTTTCCTGGCTGTTTATTGTTACATGAATATTTAAAAAAAATCCATTATTATATGACTTAGAACAGAACCTATTATGGCATGTGTTTGATAAGTTGAAATTAAGCAATATAATCTGAAGATGTTTGAGAGTTATTTACTGTATTTATTTTCATAAACATTCAATTCTTTAAAAATTGTGCCAACGTACATATTACTTTAATATCAAAGATAATCAATGATTTTAAGCACTCTTTACACTCAAAGGATACACATTTATTTTTGTTGGTTGAATAATTATTGGCTTGAAAGTCTGTAATTGTTCCTTATGTACTTTTCACTACTGTACGAGCAGGTATTTTATGTAGTTCTATAAGGTTTCTCTTATTTTTATAGGAGTTAAATGTTTTTATTGGTCATTAATATATTTCTTTGAAAATGAGGGACTTGAGAGAAAATTGGTTGCCATCACCTTTACAGCTTATTCCCCTTTAAGATACTGGTACACCCTAATAAATGCTATTTCATCATCACATCTTTATAATTTTTCCACAGGATGTTTTTTTTAGCTCTACTGGTTAGAGACTTAAGAGACCTATACTAAGATACATAATTCTAAGCACCAGTTTTTGATTAGGCTGTTCAAAGTTAATTCTACGTTTAACGTCACCTCTAAAGTTCAAAACCTATGAGGGAGGGAGGAAAAAAATAAACAAACAAAATTTTTAAACATTTGTGAATTTATTCAAATTAACCTATTCAGTACATTAAAAAAAACACTATTGAGTAATAAGAGTATTGGATATGACATCTAAGTCTAATTTCCTAAGCAGAGTTTTTCCTTAGTATGTACATGTATATTGGTTTGAATCCTTTTGTGAGCAAACAATGTAGACTGAATTGGATTTATATTGCCACACGTCCATGGTATCCTGTAGGAAAATGCTTCTTCTTGTGGGAATAGTTGTCAATGATTGATATCTACAATTAAAATTATGTTGACAGTATTTAATACATTCTGAAATTCAAAATATCTCGAAATTGAATTCTGCTGTATTTTTACTCATAGTACTAGATCTACTAGCATTTAGTTTTGAAAGTGTAAATACTATATTTGGACCATAGGTGTTAGATAATTTTACCTTGAATTCCACACACGACAGGATTCTTCACTTCTTGGAATACTCCAATCTCCTTTGCTTAAAAGGCCCTATCTTCTCTAAGCTTATCCCTGCTCAAATGGCAATGACTAATATTATCTTTCCCTACAATTGTTGCCATTTGTAAGTACATAAATGCTACATCTTAAATGTTTACAAAAATATTTTAAGACGAAACTATTAAATAAAATTTTAATGATGCATCTCACTGTATATTATAAAATATTTGTTTTTGACACACTTTGCACTCAGTTATAAGTTTTGCAATTCTCTCCAAATGCAATGAAGAGTTCAGCCAACATAATTACGAACTGAGTCTGTGATACAAAAACTGATAAAAACTCAACAAACTAGGCTTTGTCATTAACTTCAATCATAAAATCATCTATTTTTTACTTACATTTATGATCCCATACTGTTTAATTTACTAGTTTTCTGTTAATAAGACAACAACTGCGGTATCAAAGCACATTTTCTGTCATTACGGGATGCAGAATTAAGTCGCTAAATGTAGAACTGAACCGGAACGGATATATGAAATTCCGAATTGTTTGTTTTTTTCAAAGACCTATTTCTCCTAAACCTACGCGCGCGGGTGACGTTAAACGTAGAATTAATTTTAAACAGCCTTACAGCATGTAAAACACTAAAGATGGGGTTTAGTTAAAGAGACTAGTAGAAGAACATCTCCTAACAGAATGGTTGCAAAAATATGATAGGTAACATGGTTAGTACCTTGGAAATCAGCTTCGAAGTGGAGGAACCTCCCATTTGTTTATTATTTTTGTTTCTTACCTTGTGTATTTTTATTATACTGTATATGGCCAATTTTTTTTTTAACATTAACAAAAGTACAAACCAATTGCACAGAATGGCTTACAGATGGAATTGACAGAGAAATCACATATTTTTGAGAAAATAAAGACTTTATATTTTATTAGTTGAGGGGGGGGGGGGGGGGGGGGTTGAGCCACGCTTCAGGTGTCTGTGGTATCATACACTGTGCTGGTGCACTTAATTGATTTAATCAATTTTGCCATAAATGGAATTTCTGTGCCATTCTTTCAAAACATTACTCATCATACAGTTTTGGTCAGATTTCTATTGTTACAGAAGTGGATTATACTAAGATTTATACTAAGATAAATCTTTATTATGAGTACACACCATTAGAGCTACAGTCTTGTCAGAGACTTCTTGTTCTTAGCTCTACTGGTCAGAGACCAGAAGAGCTTATGTGATAGTAAGGTGACTGTCGTCCATCCATCTGTCTGTGTAGCTATCTGTCTGAAACAATTTTTCATGCCAATGCCCATGGTTACTAAAAATAGAAATTTCTGAGGAATACTTTCAGAATGCTACTCCTCTTACAGTTTTGGCCTGATTTTAATATAATGTTGCACACAAGTAGACTACACTGAGATCAGCGAGATGCAAAATTCTGTTTATCAGTTTTTGATTTTGATGAAAGTCTTGCCATGCTTACTGAAAATGAAATTCTGTGAAATTCTTTCAAAAGGCTACTACCGTGAACGGTAGCTCAGTCGGTAGAGCGCTCGCTCCATGATCGGGAGGTCATGAGTTCAAATCTCGGCCGTGACTGACCTAAGTCGATAAAAAATGGGTAGCAACTGTTCCTTCGCCATGCGCTCTGCACTTTGAAGTGAAAGTTGTGGGTCCTTCAGATGAGACCTTAAAAACCGAGGCCCCGTGTCACGGAAGGCATTGTCATGATAAAGATCCTTCACTGCTCAATGGCCCTGAGTGCCGAGTAAAGGTCAAAATTTGAAGCCCTTCCCCGGTATATGGTGACGTCTCTATATGAGTGAAAAATTCTTCAATGGGACATAAAACAACATACAATCAATCAATCAAAACGCTACTCCTCCAACAGTTTTAATGTGATTGCAATAAATCTTGTCAGAAAAAGAGACTGAACCAAGGACCATTATTCATTTATTGCTGTTGCATACATGTAGTTTCAAGTGCAAGTGCTACTTTTCTCTTCCTTTATTATAAGTACAAACCAGTAGAGCTATAGTTTTGTCAGAGACTTCTGATTTATTTGTTCCTTAAACAGTGGCCAGTGTTTGTAACTAAACATGGAATGAGAATTATTTTGTTTTCTCAGTCAGACATGACCTTGTCTGTTGTAGATATCTCACCAAACCACCGGCCCCTCCCAGTCCTCTGTTGGAACGACGATGAGGAAATTCATTAAGGATACCTTGGCTTTATGATGTTATGTGAGGGATCGCTCATTAACTCTCACAGAAAGTGACTTTTAGCAGCACCTGTATAAAGCCAGCTTCTCTTCAACAAGTGTCTTTCATGTGGAATGAGTGGATTTAGTGAATTTGTCTTAGAACTGTGTGAATGTTACTTGAGTGATTTGCTATATTTAAGTGTGCCATGCAAGTGTAATAATTTTGATTGAAAAGGGAGATACATATACATGTACAAGTTTGCTTCAGATATTTAGAGGTGTTTAAAGTTATCAGGTTGACAAACTCATTTGTTGATATTACAAGCAACTGACATCTTTTAATTTGATTATAAAACTGTATAAAAACTTTTTTTTAAGATGAAACCTGCATTGCAAGAAGATTGTAAAAGTAAAAAAAAAAAAGAATATAAAGATAAAGTTAAAGGCAAATTAACATTATTTTTAATTACTGCAATTTCTAATTCCTTTTCTTTTACAATGCAGAGCATGTCCATGGTTTTATTATTTATGTATATAGTGTATGTATAGATATGATTAGCTGATGAAATGATAATTAAAGAGATGACTCTAGAAGCTATATATATTATGTAGTCAAATTTAGCTGTACTTTGATTCGGGTTTTTGAATACTTTTTCACAATCGTAATGTTCATGTAATTCATCCAAATCTTAGGAAAACATGACAGTTATCAAAGACACAAATGAGTTGGTATTCATTTTTAGAAAGCCTGAAAGCACACTTCTAAAAGATTCCAAAATTCCTGAGAGACTAATATTGCCTTTTTTTCTTTTAGCTCAGTTACTGAACTGAGGGCTTTAGTGAGCTTTTCTGATTGAAGTTTGTCTGCCATCTCTCTGTCTGTTAACTTAGTACATTTTTGACTTCTTCTCCACAACCACTGGTCCAATTTCAACCAAACTTGCCACAAAGCATCCTTGGGTGAATGGAATTCAATTTTTTATGCCCTGTCATGAATATGGCTGGGGCATATAGTGTTTGTCATGTCTGCCTTCCGTCCTGCCGTCCCGTCTGTCCTTCCGTCACTTTTTGCGTTTAGCTCTGTTCAAAGCTCAGTTTCAAAGAAACTATCCAAGATATTTTTATCAAACTTCATATGCTGATAGATATTGATGAGAGCTATTCAACTGCATCAACATTTTTTGACCTTGACCTTTCCTTTGACCTTGACCTCACTTTTCTTAAATTAGTGTTTAGCTCAGTTTTAAAGATACCAGTAAAGATAGTGTAATCAAACTTCATATGTTGATACATACTGATGTAAGCTATTCAACTGCATCAAAATTTTTTGACCTGGACCTTTCTTTTGACCTTGACCTCACTTTTCTCAAATTAGTGTTTAGCTCAGTTTTTAAGATACCATTCAAGATAGTGTAATCAAACTTCATATGTTGATACATACTGATGAGAACTATTCAACTGCATCAATATTTTTTACCTTGACCTTTCCTTTGGCCTTGACCTCACTTTTCTTAAATAAGTTTTTTGCTCAGTTTTAAAGATACCATTCAAGAAAGTGTTATCAAACTTCATATGCTGATACATACTGATGAGAACTATTCAACTGCATCAACATTTTTTGACCTTGACCTTTCCTTTGACCTCACTTTTCTTAAATTAGTGTCAAACTTCATATGCTGATACATACTGATGAGAGCTATTCAACTGCATCAATATTTTTTTTACCTTGACCTTTCCTTTGACCTTGACCTCACTTGTCTTAAATTAGTGTTTAGCTCAGTTTTAAAGAAACTATTTATAATATATTTATCAAACTTCATATGCTAATACATACTGATGTAACCTTTTCAACCGCATCAACAATTTTTGACCTTGACCTTTCCTTTGACCTTGACTTCACTTTTCTTAAATTAGTGTCAAACTTCATATGCTGATACATACTGATGAGAGCTATTCAACTGCATCAATATTTTTTCACCTTGACCTTTCCTTTGACCTTGACCTCACTTTTCTCAATTTGTGTTAAAATGTTGCATTACTAATATACCCTCGGTGGGGCATTCATGTCCTATGGACATATTTCTAGTTTTCAAATGGAGAGCCACCCTCTCTTTCATGGGGGATATAATTAATATGAATTAGTGAAAATTTAATGGAATCTATTAAAAATCTTATAAAGAACCACATGGCCAGAAAAAATGAAAACTATGTATAGGCTTCATAACATAACCTAGATTCAAGTTTGTTCAAATCATGACCCCTGGGGTAGGGTTAGACCACAATGGATGTCAAAGGTTTATATCATAGGAAAATTCTTTAAAACTCCTCTTTTTTTAAACAGAAAAACAGTGGTTAGTCATACTTATATGGAAGCAGTGGCAATCAAAATTTTACATAGGAGAATAAAGGAAAATTTTTAGAAAATGTTCTTCTCAAGAACAGCAAAGTGTTATGTTTAGTCATTTTTATTCTCAGGTAGTGTGCTTTCAAGCTTGTTCAAATCCTGACCTGGGGGGGGGGGGGGGGGCAATAAAACATTTACATGGGGATATAAAGGGAAAATCTTTAGAAATCTTCTTTTCAAGAACAGCAAAGCCATGGTTATTCATATTGACATAGAAACATCTTCAGATAGTGTAGGTTTAGGTTTGTTCAAATCATGACCCCCGGAGGTAAGAATTTATTGGGTCCACAATCGGCTATCAAATTTTTACCTAGGAATACATGTATATATATAAGAAAAAGTATTTAAAATCATTCTTAAGAACAGCAAAGCCATGTTTAGTCATAATTATAAGGAAACATCTGCAGGTAGTGCACAAGATTCAAAGTATGGGATGGGAACACAAAGAGCTATGAAATGTTTACAATATATAGGAAAAAATCCTTAAAAATGTCAAGATCAGCAAAGAGGCTTTAAGCCCTGCTTAGTCTTATTTATGTGGAAGCATTCTAAGGTAGCGTAGATTTAAATTTGTTCAGATCATGTTCCCCAGGGGTAGGCTGGGATCATAATGGGTGATCTAAGCTTACAAAGGAATATGTGGGGGAAAATCTGCTGATGGAGAACAGCAGGACCATCATGACTCAGGTGAGCATTGTGGCCCATGGGTCTCTGTTAGTCATGTAATTTTGAAAACATTATGACGAGAAAAATCTTCTAGAACTCATTTTGACATATTTCATGAAGAAATGTTGAATACTTATACATGTATGTAATTCAACGATTTACAGGTGATTTGTTTACATGTACATGTACTTTTCTAATGTTGTATTCTTTTCTGCTCATTAAGTTTCAATCCTTTGTATTTGGCAGAAGATACTTGGAATATTGGTATAATTACATGTATTACATTTTCATTAATATGTAGGTCTTTTATTTTTCCAAATGAAATATCATGAGGACAATGTCGCAATAAATTTTGTGTATAATTTAATACTTTTCATGATTCTTGCATAGAAAAAAAAATGAAATTTGATGTCCTTTTATATTTGGTATAATTTGTTAATTCATGAATAAGTATTAGAGTGAGCAGCTGCAGCATGAATAATTTACATGTGATGGCATTTTTTAAGAAGACATATCTAGTAGGTCTATATTATATTAGTAATGTATAGTATAAGTCCCTGGTAACGGTAAAATGTTTATTTAAAACTCTTTACAAACGCCGTAGAACGGAACCTAACTTTTGGACGAACCTGTACATAAATATTGGCATGATATTAACCAATCAAAGTACAATATCTCATTCAGCCCTTGTATGAAGGAAAAAAAGTTATAAGGAAGGGAAAAGTTGGAAACTTTCGAAAAACTGTACCAGTGACTCAATCGATACAGGAAACGAGCGAGGAAGGAGGCACGACACATGTATTAGGCAAGTACGATAATAACAGGGTAATCCTAGCATTACACACGCTTATTCAACGTATTAGCAATTTAATGACCAAAACGGTATTATTGCCTTGCTTTCACTGCAAATCATCACACTGACGGACAAATTATTGGACATTTTGATCAGAAACCGTTTTAACGATATATGTCAATATTATCTTTTCTAACAACAACAAAAATCGAAGACCGCGGAATTTCACAGTATATATTTACGAAGTTAACAAAAACAGTGAGATTAGTGCAAGGCACTGTAGAACAGTTTGTGGATGATTTTCAAGTTTTGACGCCTTTGACCTAATATTGTCACGCATGCACTTACAACCTAAGCACACAAAACATGTGGAAGTTTGTCATCATGGAAATATTTCTTATATGCTTAATATCCACTTTTAAATTGTAATGCCAAGTAGTGAGTTTTAAATCAAGACAGTTGACACCATAATCAAAATAGTAGGACAGATGATTTATATGATCAATACAAGGAGTTGTTTGATTTAGTACACAGTATTATAATATTTTATGATATTCATCTACATTACTTAAAAAAAAAAGTTTACATATATATACGTAACTATATTTATATACATTGTCTGAATGATACATGTAGCATTCAAATGTAGATCAAACTTTGAATTGAACAAATTTTTTTGACCAAAAGGATCAGACGCTCATTCTGGAACTTTGATGTAAAACTTTAAGATGAATCATTTTTTCCCCTACTTGAGTTAAGGTAGCTTTAACAGTTATCATGAGTAATGCAGGTCAGCACACACAATAGAAAATCATACTGGTTTGTAACACCTGTCAGCTGTAATCAGTATCGGAGATATGATCTATATATCACTTTTACTGCTGAACAGATTTACAGATTAGTATTGTGTATTGATATTTCTATGTATGATTACATTTATAGACCTGCATGAATATTTACTGTTTCAGAGATTTTCAAGTTAGTGAACAATTCTCCTTGACAAGACAAGACCATAAAATTGTTGTGGAATGACTTCGTTTCCACTGTACTTGGCCTAGGATATGTCATAACCCTGAACAAAGCCCCCCCCCCCCCCCCCCCTTCTTGCTCCTCTCCTCATCACAAACACACACCTTCACCTGCAAGAGACAAACTGTAGTAGAAAATGCACTATGCAAAGGGAAATGCTAAAGATAAAACTTTAAACTGAAGTTCAACTGTAGATAGATTCATATAGGTTGCAAGGTCATTGCTTACAGATAAAAATTTCAATGTTTTAGTTGCTGTTTGGTTGTGTATATAACTTCTGACCTTCCCTGTAAACATTGTAAAGAAATTCAAAATGGTACCGAAATAGTTATGGTGTGCAGAAATACTGAAGTCAGTGGTTAGCCATGTAGTAAATGTGATATTCACCTTTACACAATTGTATTGATTTTGTCTATTGAACATTATATATAAATACTGCATGTAGTTGAGAGTAAACATTGAAAATTTTCACCCCCAAGAAAACCATTGTCAATATTCAGATTTTCCTTGCATATGCACTTGAAACATCCAAAACTGCTTGTTCAATGCAATTTCTTT